ATTATTCTTTTTATTTATTTTTAATTCAAAGAACTAATTCTGAAATTAAAATCTTAATTCAAAGAACTAATTCTGAAATTAAAATCAAGCATAATAGGATCTATTTCGTTATTTAGGCCTCGTTTGGGAACAGGCTATTATAGTAATTTTTTTAACTTTTTGGCTAAAATATAAGGTTAAAAAAAAATTAGTATGTTTAAAATGACTCTTTAATTTTTTACAAAAGGATGTGCTAAAAGTAAAAAGAAAATAAAATATTTGACTTTTTGATATAAGTTATAGACTTTTTGATTTTTTTAGTAATTTTTTTAATTTTTAGACTAACAGTGTTGCATGCCAAACGAGACCTTAACATAGATCCATTTCGTTTTGTGTCGGCAAATACAGTTTTTAAGTTTTTTATTTTTCATATTTTTGTGTCTTTAATAAACTTTAATATTTTTTAATTTTTAAATGAACATAACCTAAATACAATAAAAAATAAAATATTTATAAAAATACTTACTAAATACAAAACCAAAAAGAATGTAAAAATTCAGTATATATTTTTTTTTATTTATATTTTTTGATTTTTTTAAAAAAATTACTAATATTTTACTTTTTAAGGGTATTTAGATTAGATACATTTTAAAAAAATGACTAGAATATAAAAAATGAAAAATAAAAATCACTAAAGACAATAAAAACAAAAAATAAAGAATAAAAAGTACAAAAATTGTAAACATAATTAAGGAACTTTAAACTCTTAATATCCAATTATTGAAATAAATCCAATTATAGAGAATAAATTTTAACCTTAATATCCATTACGTATTGAGTAATCAATAATGTTTCAAACCCCCACAAAACATCACCCCTGCAACTCTCACTCACTTGTGATTGGTCCAAATAAGAAAGAGAGACGGAAAAAGAAATATATATATATATATAAACACATCATTGATCCACATCACTATAGGGGTAGTGAGAGTCTCCCCAAAAATATATCCCAAACATTTTCCATTGAGTAATGGGACATTAATGATACTCTTCTAATTACATTTATTCTATGAATTTTAACCTTAATATCCAGCACATAATTTCGGCAATTTGATTTAAACTTTCTCGTGGTCCGCAAGACGACTGAGTTTTATTTTGAAATTGTTTTACTCCGTTAACACCTTTATGAGGAACCTTTTTTTTAAAAAAAAGAAAAAGAAAACAATTACAATGCAACTATCATACTCTCACAGGTCAACTTTTATTTGTTTAATTTAATGTGGCTAATTTCTAATTCATTTATTAATTTTAGGCCATGTTTGTTTGGATAGACTGGATTAGCATTCTCATGACTAATAGTTTTAGGACTACGAATCCGTTGAATTATGTATCATATCTTAACTAATGGTCAAGTTTAAAATAATTAGTCCGTACTTCAATTGTTTAATCAAATATCGGATTAATAATTTTTTTGGACTATTAGTCCAATCCCAAGCTCATGTCCACCCAAACAAACATGACCTTAATGTATTAAGTACCCAACATCAAGTACAAGATCCAAACCACGATCAAGCTTCATGCCTCATTTCTACCACCCCTATGTGCTCTCTAGCAATGACTATGCAACTCTCTCCAAAGACTTCACCAATCCTCACACTCACAATGCCAGACTTTGCCTCCGAACAATAAGGATATAGAAATCCTTCTCTATGTAAATCCTTACTATACAAGTCAAAAGACTACTACATATATAGGCACTATGGAAACTTAGATTGAATAGAAATCAAAAGCACTATAACCCAAGTAATATTTTCAAAAAAAGATGAACGTGTTCGCCAAGAGAAGGGTGGCATTCAAACAGTGAGCACACTGAAACAAAGTAGGTTCATGTTGGAACAAGCACCACACTCGATTTTTCAATGAAACTGAAAACACTATTCTCATATGAACACAACGAGCTCACATTCAAACATAAAAGCTATTGTTCCTTTTGCTCATGTTCTATAAGAAAAATCAAATGTAAACCAAAGCTAGGGGCATGTTAACTTCAAGAACTTGTCTAGGGTGCAAAAGAAAGATGTCTTGCGTAATGTTTCATTGTGAAAATCTTGCTAAAAACTCATGGATACTATGAACAATACTTGTTAAACCATTAACAGAGTTTAGCTTGGACAAAAACCGATCCACACTCCACATGAATTATGGTCTGGTAAAATGCATTCAGTGACACTCTAAATTTTTAAGTCTTTGGATTCCAGACTGACCTTATTGTAAAGGTAGGAGGAATCAATAGCACAATGACAGTTATTTGAGGTTCTAATACACAACTATGTAATTACTTTCAAATCGGCTATCACACAATTGACTAATACTAATCAAACTAGCCTTAGGAAACCTAGAAATTTTTATAGACCCTTCGCTCACAACCTTACACTTCCATTTTCAGCAGTAACAATCTCACATCTATAATTTTCAAGATAATAGAATTGATACTTTATTTTTCATATTTTTGTATCTTTAATAAACTTTAATATTTTTTAATTTTTAAATGAACATAACCTAAATACAATAAAAAATAAAATATTTATTAAAAAATTTACTAAATACAAAACCAAAAAGAATGCAAAAATTCAGTATATTTATTTTATTTATATTTTTTGATTTTTTTAAAAAAATTACTAATATTTTACTTTTTAAGTGTATTTAGATTAGATACATTTAAAAAAAATGACTAGAATATAAAAAATGCAAAATAAAAATCACTAAAGACAATAAAACACAAAAAATAAAGAATAAAAAGTTAAAAAATTGTAAACATATTTAAGGAACTTTAAACTCTTAATATCCAATTATTGAAATAAATCCAATTATAGAGAATGAATTTTAACCTTAATATCCATTACTAATTGAGTAATCAATAATGATTCAAACCCCCCACAAAACATCACTCCCGCAACCCCCACTCACTTATAATTGGTCCAAATAAGAAAGAGAGACTGGAAAAAAAAAAAAAAAAAATACAAACACATCATTGATCCTCATTGATCCACATCACTGTAGGAGTGGTGAGTCTCCCCAAAAAAAGATCCCAAACATTTTCCATTGAGTAATGGGACATTAATGATACTCTTCTAATTACATTTATTCTATGAATTTTAACCTTAATATCCAGTACATAATGTCGGCCATTTGATTTAAACCTTCTCGTGGTCCGCAAGACGACTGAGTTTTATTTTGAAATTGTTTTACTCCGTTAACACCTTTACGAGGAACCTTTTTTTTTAAAAAAAAAGAAGAAAACAATTACAATGCAACTATCATACTCTCACAGGTCAACTTTTATTTGTTTAATTTAATGTGGCTAATTTCTAATTCATTTATTAATTTTATTGTATTAGGTACCCAACATCAAGTACAAGATCCAAACCACGATCAAGCTTCATGCCTCATTTCTACCACCCCTATGTGCTCTCTAGCAATGACTATGCAACTCTCTCCAAAGACTTCACCAATCCTCACACTCACAATGCCAGACTTTGCCTCCGAACAATAAGGATATAGAAATCCTTCTCTATGTAAATCCTTACTATACAAGTCAAAAGACTACTACATATATAGGCACTATGGAAACTTAGATTGAATAGAAATCAAAAGCACTATAACCCAAGTAATATTTTCAAAAAAAGATGAACGTGTTCGCCAAGAGAAGGGTGGCATTCAAACAGTGAGCACACTGAAACAAAGTAGGTTCATGTTGGAACAAGCACCACACTCGATTTTTCAATGAAACTGAAAACACTATTCTCATATGAACACAACGAGCTCACATTCAAACATAAAAGCTATTGTTCCTTTTGCTCATGTTCTATAAGAAAAATCAAATGTAAACCAAAGCTAGGGGCATGTTAACTTCAAGAACTTGTCTAGGGTGCAAAAGAAAGATGTCTTGCGTAATGTTTCATTGTGAAAATCTTGCTAAAAACTCATGGATACTATGAACAATACTTGTTAAACCATTAACAGAGTTTAGCTTGGACAAAAACCGATCCACACTCCACATGAATTATGGTCTGGTAAAATGCATTCAGTGACACTCTAAATTTTTAAGTCTATGGATTCCAGACTGACCTTATTGTAAAGGTAGGAGGAATCAATAGCACAATGACAGTTATTTGAGGTTCTAATACACAACTATGTAATTACTTTCAAATCGGCTATCACACAATTGACTAATACTAATCAAACTAGCCTTAGGAAACCTAGAAATTTTTATAGACCCTTCGCTCACAACCTTACACTTCCATTTTCAGCAGTAACAATCTCACATCTATAATTTTCAAGATAATAGAATTGATACTCATCTCCAGTCATGTGTCTATAATACCTACTACCAAGCAACCAAGTAAACAACTAATTGGCCTTATAGGATGTGTGCTACAGAGTCTTTGACAGAATCCTTCCTAACCCAGATGGACCTGACTGGTTTTTCTACTTTAGCTTTGATCACGAGTCTTTAGTTAACCTCATGGACTATTTATGAAGTGTGTTGATCATTCTTAGACGATTCCCAATAGATTAACTTGTACCTCCTAAGTTGAAATTTTTTTTGCTCTAACATGATTCTCAGAGCACCACAGTAATGACAAACTAACACATATTTTTGTTTAGGTTTCTGAACTCCAAGCCAAAAGGTTGAGGAGCTTCAGGAAGTTCATATATATAAAGCAAATGCATGTATTGGATGCAACGACAATCCCAAAAACATAAGCATTAATAAGAACATCTATAAGTGTTAGCAGTGGCAGAAAATAAAATACCATCCAAGTCATTTGCCTTGAACTTGAAGGTGCACAAATGCTACAAGTAAAATGCAAACTTTGAAGCAAAGATTGAAAGAAGCATTATTTGTTCCATTTAGTGGGATTATATTGAGTTGTAGCAGATTTTTTTCTCTTGCTAAAAACACCAACAAACAAAATTCTAAATCCTCAGTGGACAATAAGCATAGCACGAGGACAACATTTAAAGACTCCAAGAACAATTTGACAAATTTTGTCAAAATAAACAATTTTGTTCTCAACAAGCCGATTCAAATAACAATAAAGGGAGTTTTACACCAAGGGTAAATGACGCATCTATAGTTCATGTTCCGAAAGCAAACTTCAAGAAGGCACAACCCTATGGATCCTACTCAAATTGCATGCATCATAACAAAATTATACACAAGCTCTCAACTAAAGGTATAATTTGTTGAGAAAGAAGTTTTTCGTGAATAAAAAAATATAAAAGAAATTACCCTAAAAAAATTTTAAAAAAAAAAAGAAGGTTAGACAATTGTAATAAATTAAACCAGACGTTTTAATTTAATTTATTTTTTTTTCATTTTAAACCTGGATTTTTTAAGAAGACCCAATTCCAACCATCTGTCAATCCCCCGTAAAAAAATCTAACAGGTGAGGGATAATCTAATTAATCTACCTACTCTCGTTTGGATAATTTTGTGTGTATCTATTTCTAGGCAAAGATGAAGAGATGTGGAATTGACAAAATTATCCCTCATTTGTTAAAAATTTTAACTGAGATGGACAGATGGTTGGAATTGGGTAAACTTTAAAAATTTAGGGTTCAAATGAAAAAAAGAAAAATTAAAATTTATGATTTAATTTGTTACAACGATCAAACCCTCTTTTCCTTTTCTTTTTTGTAATAGCCCTAAAAATATACCATTAGATTCATGTTGTATGAGCACCATGTGTTCTTGAAGCCCATATGCCAAATACAAGAAACCAGAAGACAAATAAGATGGCCCAGTAGCGTGCAGGTCCATACTTGATTCTAGTTAACACAATCTGCAGGTTTCAAAAGAACAAACATTAGATTAACCATTTATATCTACATGGACGAAAACATATATTCCTACTTTCTCACTTAGAACCACACCTCAAACTAACAAAAAGTAAAGTGAGCAAGAAAACCAATTCCACAATCACAAATTGAAAAACGAGAAATGAAAGTGATCACATCAAAGAGGGTCATTCCATCAAAATATTCATTCCCATGTTTGGTTGACTAAAAGAATAATGAAAATATCAATGCATTGTAAATGGAATCATTATTCTACATTATAAGGAAATCCATAGGAAAACCTAAGGAATGACCATTCCATCTCATTCCAATGAACCAAACAGAGCATTAGTTCTCTAGGAAGGAATGGCCCTCAATTGGCAGTGCAATTAATGTCAGAATGTCTATCTCACTAGTAACATTCATGAAAAAATGAAATATCTAAATCTGTCATGAGGAAAAAAAATATTTACCCTAGTCATTTACATTTAGGAATGCACATTCGAGAAAATCATAAATTTAATACCAAAACAACAAATTTAGCAATTGAAACATTTTTTCCTATGCATGATGTATTCACTTAAGCTCCATTTGGATAGATGTAGATTTCAAATTAAAGGATTTGAGGTTGGATATTATAAAAGTATTGGAGAGTTTAACTATTATAGGTGGATAGAAAAAATAGAATATATGTATTTTAGTAGCATCTTTGTAGCTGAAAGGAGAATCCTTAGCATGATTTGAAATAACTACTTTTGCATAGGTATTTCAAATTCATCATGATAAAGCTCTTTAATATAATCTTCAAATAGTTATCAAATCTAAATTTAAATTATGCTTCTTGCTTTAGAATAATGCCAAATCCATGCATTTCAAATCTGTAAATACAAACGGAGCCTTTGTGTTACCCCTTTTGATCTGTGTGTGTGTTTGGGGAAATGTGTAACGCATGGCGGAGGTCTAAAACAGGCCCCCTAATGCATCAACAGCTCCACGCCTCCACTTGTAAATGAGCCAAATTAAGAAATGTACTCACATCATAACTTCAAATATAGGAAAACTTTAAAAGCTGAAATGTATATTACCATATTATATTTTTTGAATGTCAAATTGTTCATAGTAGATGACTCACAAATTTGAGAGGACCTGAACAGATGTTAATAATCTACTTGCCTACACTCATTCATATCAGTTGCATCAGCTTACTGCTACAGAACCATTTTGTAGAGCAGGTGACGCACCACATTCTAAAGCATTTCTATTCTAAGTACCAAAAAATGTCATACTCAGTGCACAAGGCTCCCCACTTACACATATAGGAAGGTCTGGAGGGAGAGGTGAGGTTTGTATCCCCACTTCTTTTCCAATTTATAAACTTAAAAAACTTAAAAAGCTGAGTAACTTCTTACTATTTCATATAGTAAATGGCACATTTACTTGTTATTTAAAACATGAACAATTTTTTCAATTTCATATGTATATTAAATACATATGTATTTATAGCCATGTATGTTCGTGTCCTAAAGTTTTTGGGAATTACAATGTCAACATTATCATATTGAAAAGATGAAACAGATTGATGAGTATGCAGGTTTTTTTTTTTTTGAGATAGTGTTAGTGTGTTAGTATAGTTAGATTACAACTGAAGAGCCACCGTTGCTCCATCAACTCAAACCCTTGACCTTCCACTCGCTACACCCTAAGGTGTAGCTACTAGACCATTGCGTCACACCCCAATGTCTGATGAGTATGCACCTTATTCAATGATTTTTCTCATTTTTATTTGCAAAGATCAGCCTCATCAGATCTTAAACGACTAAATGTTCTATTAATAATTCTTAACAATGTCATAGTAGAAGGACCATATGAGAAAACTACATCGTCATGTTTTCCTTTGCTAATCAAGAGACATAAAACATGAAAAGTGTATTTGATCATTAACACAAATCATAATATAACTTACTTTCAGTCCAAGAAAAGCAAATACGCTCAATGGATGCAAGATCAAAAGAATTAATATCTAATAACTTACAAAGCGAAAGAAGACTACAACAGTTAAAGCACAAATGCCTCCAAGAAGAATGTGAAGGCCACTTTTGGCAGTTTTCTGCAAGCAGGAGAAATTTGTCAGACGAAATATATTCAAGAATGTACAAAGAAAGAAAATGAATTACAAAGAAAATAAATTGAGGAAAAAGCGTAAGGCAACAAAAGCAATTGATATCTCATGTATTATCAGAATTAATACAAATATTTCTCAATTAAATACCCACACACATGCAGATATTTCTCAATGAATTAATAAAGCTCATACACAAGAATAACCGATGCAGTAACGGTAACAAAAGGGTAGCTCGCACTGGAGAATATGCAAGAAACCCGATGCACTAAGGGTGACAAAAGTATAGCTCATATTGGAGACTATGCTCACTCAGTAATAGTGATAAGAGCATCTCCAATGGTCTAGCGTTTTTGTGCTCACTTTATACAGATTTATTACAAGCTGCTCCAGCAATGTGTATTATTTACTGTGCCAAAATAGCACAAGTGGTCAAACAGTGCAATATTTTCTGTATTAATTCATCTATCTATCTATCAATCAACCACCATTCTTCAATCACCTATTTTTTAATAATTTTTCAACTGATTGATTTAAACCAAACCAAACCAAACCAAGCCTTGCCTTAAATCTCATCAAATGTAGCCTTTTGTCACCCCTTTCTTCTCGAACACCCACCAGATTATATCCCAAGACACTCTATCATATGTTTTCTCAAGATCGATAAAAACCATATGAATGTTTCTTTTTTTCTCTCTATACTTTTCTATTACTCTCCTCAAAAGATAGATCGCTTCCATTGTTGACCTACCGAGCATAAATCCAAATTGATTTCCTAACATCTCTGTTATATTTTGTAATCGATGTTCCATCACTCTCTCCCACACTTTTATTATATAACGCATCAGCTTAATTCCTCTATAGTTGTTGCAATTCTGGACATTTCCTAAACCCTAAACCCTATTTAAGCACAGCATACACTACCCTGCTGGAGCAAGTATTTTTTGTTGCACTGTCCTATTTTAATATTGCTAGCTACACCTAAATGTTACACGGTTTTGGGTAGAACTCAACCCCAAAAGCTAGCTATTGAGGTGAGGGTGCTCTCACGCTTTTATGCTTAACATTACTTTAGTACTCAGGAGATGTGGGACTTTGCTTCACACTAAATACTACACTGCTAGAGATGCTCTGAAAATAATACAGTATCATGGAAAATATTTTGAAAAAACTTCAAATTATAATGAGGGACAAGAACTAACATATACATGTACATATTGATTTATATACATATGTTTGTATGTATGCATGTATGTATAGCAGCTCCATGTGATAGCAATTTAGTTCTGGCATTACAGGAGCTTAAGTTTTTACAGGTATAATACTTGTGGGCTCTAACAAATATGTGAAAAATTACTCTCATATGCATAATAACTCTTCCTATTGGCAGTTTGCCTGTCAGAAAACAAATTTTTTTTGTATATATCATCTGTGAAATAAACAATAGCACTTAGATTCTAAATACCTTTCCAACACGAGGAGCAATGAGCCACGCAAGAGAGACAGTAAGCAGCCCCGTAGCAAGCAAGATCCCAGTACCCTCCACAGCCCATTTGGTCGCTGGATTTTCAACAGGGACAACTTCTTCGCCGACAATATTAGAAGGTTGCTCAGTGACAACCAGTGAAGCTATGGCAGGATTGTTGGTATTATGTGGATTAAACCACAATGAGATTTCACTTAGCCTTTGCCTTCGAATAGCAGCAACAGCATCAGGGTCTACACCTGAATTTGACTGCACCTGTGCAAGATTAGGTTCCCCATTGACAGTCCTTTCCCTCAACACTTCATAATCTTTCAAAGAAACCAAAACCTTTTTGAAATCTGCAGTTTTAATATTTTTCGCAAGGTGTCCACATATTTCACAGACAGTAGATCCATGGTTCACAAACCATTTGAGTGCACATGCATAGTGCACTAGAGCAAGATCACTTTTGCAAGAGCAACCTAGCTCAATTAGTGTGTCTTGCGGGGGGCTAAAACCCATTTCTACATCAGTATTACAAATGAAAACCTCCCCTGTAGGGCTGACAAACTCAACAAATCCAGATTCTCTTCTACCATTTTTGTTACAAGAATCGTCACTATCAACATCTTCCAAGGCTGCTTTACAATTAGGCCTTACATCCTCACTGCCTGTATGTGCAACTCGTAATGGTGGAGTGATACCCAAAAATCCCAACACAGCATCTCCCCTTTTGTCAGATTCAGCACATTGGCAAACACGACAAGTTGGCAAGCCTGCCTCCTTGTCTAAACTGTGCCTTGATACAGAGTAAGTCCCAGTATCTTCACTCCCAATGGGAAGGGAACAATCAACACTCATTCCACCTTTAATTGTTTGTGGCAAATTCTCCTTGCCCATCAGATCACATTACTGTTTAAAAATGTGTTTTGTGCCTAATGATTATTGCACCATTTTTCAATTATTGAAGTTCATGATGCCAACCTCCACATTACAAATTTCCAAGAAAAAAGCTGTTGAATTCCCGTAGAAAATTGCTGCAACCACGTGAACTTACAGCTTTTAGCATAATTCACGAACTTGGCTAAGAAGGGAAGAGACAAATTTAATATGCGATGAATATACAATAACCAACCTTGTGCCTCCTCATAAGTATACTGGTTTAGATGTATCTATCTGAAAATCAAATGTGATTTCTTCTGATCTTTTAGGCTGTACCAATGCTTCATTGGACAATAAAGAGATCACTAGTTACTGCACTGACAAGTGAAGACAAAAAATTGTTTGGGGATTTAAAAGAATAAAAATTATAAAGGATCTTTGTCAGTAAGAAAAGGATTGTAATTCAACAAAACAATGCTAATTCTTAAATCTATGTAAAATGTCCTTTAATATAATATAAACCACAGAGCAAATTGTTCCTACTAAATGGTTATCATGAATAAGGCGTTTAAAATATCTCATTTCATCAACCAATTATAAATGTAAATTATGTTTTTTTCAACAAATTGCAAAATTGATGTACAAAAATCTTACATGAATATAACATAGAAACACAAACCAAACTCTAAAGGACGTCTTTCATCAAGCTAAATTGCATCAAACAATTACTAATTGTAAAATCTATGTATAAAATTTTATGCAAAAATGATATGGAGCGAAAAGAAATTGTTTCACTAGCTTACTAGACAATGATTGCAAGTCTTAAGAAGCCAAATGAATGATAGGACAGCAGATAAACCTGAAATTCAATAGGTTAAACTTTGACATGGGAAGGTGCCCATGTGTCAAACAACAAAACTCAAACTTGGTGCACAAATAGAGGGAAGCAGGAGGCTTTTTGACAAATATATGTTTGTTTTACAAATTAATTTAAATCAGATGGGCTTTTAAAATTTATTTCCCAGACTATGAGAATGCGCGTTTACTAAAACGCGTTTTCTTGAAAGCGCATTCAGCAAAAACGCTTTCATGTTGTTTGGACGAAATTTTTGCTAACCACGCCTTCTAAAAGTGCAAATAGCAAACACACTGTCAAGCTGTTAACTGTTAAGGTTATTTCGGTACTTATGTAACTGCGTCTCTTATTATAAATATGAGAGCCTAAGAGGAGAACCATAATGTTTTTGAGAACTCTTTTTCTCTCCAGCCATATTGTGTTTTCTCCCTCGCACTCATCATCTTCTTCTCTCTTCCTCTTCCTCTGTAAAACCAACACAAGCTAGACTTTTTCAGCAAAGAAAACATATTTATTGACCACACTTTCAAGTTTCAATTTAACACTGAAAGTGTCAGTGTTAAGCCACCAACCATGCTTTTTATGTATATATACATATACGCCAACATTTGATCATCAGCAATCAATTTTATTCATTCTTCTCTCAAGCTACGATCAGTCTCTCACTCTCACTCTCACTCTCACTCTTTCTTAACTAAGTTTTTTAGTTTGTTGTTTAAGACGCTTTGGAAGGAAGCAATGTGAAAATATAGATACATATATATATATATATATATATTCTATTATATAAAGCGTACACCTTAGTTGGTCAACTTGGTCTAGTCTGTAAGATTTTTTTGTTTTTCAATAATCCCCCTCATATGCCAAAACTACCACATTCACTAACTGCTTCATCAAATTGTCCAAAGTTGCTAAAAAGTTTTCATCATTCATCAAATCACACCTCAATCATCAAAAACCATTCAAAGATATAACTATGAAATTACAAACGCATGATGTTCACACCCGCCTATACATACATATTTGCAATTGCAGCTAAACTGTTTTAAAAAATCAGTTCCAAAGCAATAAACATGTATATTATACCTACCCACCAGATGAACCCACAAATTCAAAAATAAAACAATAGGCATGTATTACCAGTAAAACCCAGACTGACGACTGACTAAAATTCACAAGAACATACCAACCAATTACCCATCAATAAATTTTGACTGACACTCATTTACTGATGACAAAAATTCATTACAAAAGATTAAAAAAAAAAAAAGAAGTCAAAATCAAAATCAAAAGAACCATCAAAGATTTAACCGATTCAGATGTCAAATTCTCCAATCTTAAGCCCTCAACCAAGCAATACCCCAAATTTAAACACAATGCTACTAACTGAAGATGAAATCATTCAAAAATTAAGAAACAAAAACAGAAATATGTGTATATTCATATGTGAATTTGATTGAGAAATAGACAGTGAGAGAGAATCGAACCTGTGTGAGTTGCGAGGAGAGGAAGAAGAAGAAGAAATGGATCAGATAATACCAAATCGATCGTAAAAGTTTTTGGGCGGTGGCTTCGTTGGAGATCTAGCTCTCTCTCTCTCTCTAAACTTTCTCTCTCTACCGACTAAAAGCAATTCGGTCACCTTTTTTTTTCCAACTTGTGGATGTTACGACGGAATGTCCTGGTACTAGTGGTTCTACTACTTGGGCCGTTTATTTTTAGAAATGCTACCCAATTTGTTTAAAGAAAAATGTTTGGACCTCTAATTAGAGGTATCACTAGTGATGTGATAGTGGGTCTCACCCACTGCCACATCAGTGTTGTGTCTTGATTTTTCTTTTTGTTTTTTTTTTTTTGTTTTTTTTTTTTTTTTTTTTTTTTTTTTGGCTTTTCCACCTCATTAGAGGTGTGTTTAGAGCCTCTAGCATTGTTGTTTGTTTAAATGGCATTAGACAGTGATAGGAACATTAAAATTTTTATTAAATAAATGACTAAATATTTTATTAAAGATAAGATAATAACTAAATATTTTATTAAAAATAAGATTCACAAATATATGAGATATTTTATTATTCATTTGATATAAAATTTAGAACCTATAACATTTTTTAACCACATTGATCGTTTTTGAAACCATCACACTTCATCACAGGTAATATATATATATATATATATATATATATACTAATATATATATATATGTGTGTGTGTGTTTTAATTTCAATAGATAGAATATCAAGATAAAAAGGCTTTGTTTGGGGAGTAGGTATTTTTAATTAAAAAGTTAAAAAGTCACTAAAAAAATCAAAAAATCAATAACTTATACAAAAAGTCAAAAATTTTATTTTCCTCTACTTTTTGTACATCTTTTCGTAAAAAAAATAAAAAGTCATTCCAAACATACTAATTTTTTTATATTATATTTTAGTCAAAAAATCAAAAAATTACTAAAAGCCTTGTTCTCAAACGATGTGAGAAAAAATTAAAAATGATAAAATTTATTATAAATTAATAGTTTATATATAATATTATGTAAATTAATTTGTATTATATATAAAAAAAATATTATATATAAATTTAGTATTATATATTATACAAGTACTTGATAATTAATTAAAATATTCTTCAATCTATTAATCTATTTGAAATCACTGAATTATAATTTGTCAATCCATCAAATTACTGTTCGATTTATAATTTTATTCTCAAATGTCTGAATCGCAAACATGCATTACCCCTATTTGGAACCACTACCAATGGATTTACAAATCAGTTTTTTTTTGTTGGAAATTAATTTAAATTTTAAAAAAATATTTATTATTAATCTCTTTTCAAAGATTAATGAAAATTACTGGAACCATTCGTCAAAAATCACTAATAGAGTTTCGGAGGTAAAAAGACAACTCAATAGTTTTTAATGTATAAAATCCGCAGTTGCCTAAAATTTTTTGATACCTTAAACTAAATATTAAAATAAAATTGTATCTTAACAAACTTTTTGAAAAATTAGGATCATGAACCAAAAAAAAAAAGCACTGCTATTATCACCTAGCCCAATTTTAGAGCTCCCATTTATAATTTTTTTTATTACAATTATACCTAAAGTAAAATTATATTAAAAGACATTGTGAAATGAAACACCCACTATCAATAATAACTAAGAGCATCTCCACGGTAGTAGCATTTACCTATCTAAATATTACTATAAAGTATATTATTTTAATTGCCTATTAACTATTTTATGTTTTTACTCCAACCATGCTCTTTATTTAGCTATTATCCAAATACTATTAATTTTATAGAATTCCACGTCAACAAAAAGATGGAGGAAATGATCCTAATGATTGATACATTTGCTAGCGTTGAAGGCTAGCTACATGTAGCTAGTGAATATGAGTGAGCCAAAATGCCTAATCATATGCCTAGTGCCATTGGAATTGAAAAAAGTGAATCAACTAGGCATTTTAACTAACAAGTATTATATGCCTAGTGCATTACTCTATAATATGGACACCCACCCACACCCCCACCCCCACCTCCAACTCCAACTATACGTTATTCCATGTTGTAAACCCTAAACCTAATACTTTTCATAACCAATAACATAAACCCTAAATCTATTATTTTTCATTAATAATCTTAAATCCTGAACGTGCCATCTTCATCACCATCATCAACACTATTAAACTTAAAGTTTTGCTTCAAGCATAACGTATACTTCATCACTTATTTCACTGTGTGGAGCAATGGAAGGACGAGGACAACATCTCGATCGTTTATCTGTCTGTATTAACATTCTCGGTCGTTTTTGGTCGTTCTTGTTTCGTTCGGAGCTGTTCGGTACTAGTTTGCTGACTGTTACAATTATGTTCGGTAACACAGCGTACTGAGCATATCCTTTCGTTTCAATACATAAGTTCCGAACATTAATGCAGATAGTCAGTTATGTAATTTCTTTGTTAAACTAACTTAGAATGGAAAAGAGTGAACTGGAATGATTTAAGTTATGTATTTTGAAGGATTTAATTCATGTTATTTTAAGTTGTGAATTAGAATGATTCAAGTTACACAGTGGATGAACAAATTTGTTCGGACATACAGTACTGACAGGATCATTATTGTTCGACAAAACAGTTCTGAACAAAATACATTTTTTTTTACTATACAGTGGTGAACAAATTGGGTGGGTGTGCTTTCATTTATGAAAATAGGAGATTAGTTTTTCTATTTTGAAAATATTATGGAAATATTATGGAGATTAGTTTTCCATATATTATACATTATTTTCTATTCCTTACAATTCGCATCAATCTTCACTTTCTCATCTGAATTTCCCAATCAATGGCAAATTCCAAAGAGACCCACGCCGTCGAAATCCTAATCGACGAAGAACACTAACCTCACAAATAAATGCATTGGTGTTTTCAGGAACCACTTTTTAGATATTGGTTAATGTTGGAGAGAGAAGAGAGAGAAAAAAACTAGGGTTTTGAAGGGATGTTGAGAGAGAGAGAGAAGAGAGAGAAAAATCTTCACTTTCTCATATGAACAAAAGGAGTTTTGAGAGAGTGGAGAAAAGAGAGAGAAGAGACATCACTTATGAGGAGAGAGAGAGAGGGAGAGAGAGAGAGAGAAGAGAGGGAATTAGAATGGATTCAGGTGGGTGTGCATTTCATTGTGAATATGGATAGATTTGGTAAATAAGTGGGTGTCAAAAAAATATTATTAAAATTAGGATTTAGGATTGGGGTCCAAAGAAAATGGGGGCTCAAAAAAAATTTTCGTAGGTTGCTAATAATAGCACTAAAAAAAAAATCAGGAATTCTAAACAACAGTTATCCTCTGTTTGGGAAGTCCACCTTGCGGGTTTTTTTTAGTTAAAAATAGTCACACAAAAAATAAAATAGGTTTTTTAGTCTAATAAGACAAAAATATCACATCTAATTCATAATCATTACATTCTTTCTTTCACAAAAAATCAAAAAAATTCTTCTCAAATAAGATATTTTAAGTTTGGCAACTCTTAAAAAATTCAAAAAGTCAAAAAGTCACTATTTTTATTTAAGTCACATCATCTCATTTAAGTCACATCACCTCTCTAACACATCACTTCAAACTCCACCAAACCAAAACTTATATTTCATAAAAAATCAAAAAATACACTTATTTAGATCATCCAAACAAACTCCTAACTTTCTAAACAAAACGTTAATGTTTTAATAGTTAAGTCACTTTTGTAAAAAGTCATTCAAATTGTTTCCCGTGCAATCATGATACAAGTTATCATGGTAATGAATTTGAATGACTTTTTACAAAAGTGACTTAACTATTAAACATTAACGGTTTGTTTAGAAAGTTAGGAGTTGTTTTGGTGAATCTAAATAAGTGTATTTTTTGATTTTTATGAAATATAGATTGAGGTTTGGGTTGGGTTTGAAGTGATGTGTTAGAGAGGTGATGTGACTTAAAAGAGATGATGTGACTTAAATAAATAGTGACTTTTGACTTTTTGAATTTTTTAAGAGTTGCCCAAACTTAAAAAATCTTATTTAGAGAAGAATTTTTGATTTTTTGTGAAAGAAAGAATGTAATGATTATGAATTAGATGTGATATTTGCTTATTAGACTAAAAAACCTATTTTATTTTTTGTGTGACTATTTTAACTAAAAAAAAACCCCAAGGTGGACTTCCCAAACAGAGGATAACCTGTTGTTCTAAGATTCCTGATTTTTTTTTAGTGCTATTATTAGCACCTACGAAAATTTTTTGGAGCCCCATTTCTTTGGACCCCAATCCTAATCCTAAATTTTAATAATATTTTTTTGACACCCCACTTATTACCAAATCTACCATATTCACAATGAAATGCACACCCACCTGAATCCATTCTAATCTCCTCTCTCTCTCTCTCTCCTCTCTCTCTCTCCTCATAAGTATGTCTCTTCTCTCTCTTTTCTCTCCTCTCTCAAAACTCCTTTTGTTCATATGAGAAAGTGAAGATTTTTCTTCTCTCTTCTCTCTTCTCTCTCAAATCCCTTCAAAACCCTAGTTTTTTCTCTCTCTTCTCTCTCCAACATTAACCGCAATCTAAAAAGTGGTTCCTGAAAACACAATGCATTTATTGTGAGGTTAGTGTTCTTCGTCGATTAGGATTTCGACGGCGTGGGTTCTTTGGAATTTGCCATTGATTGGGAAATTCAGATGAGAAAGTGAAGATTGATGCGATTGTAGGAATAGAAAATAATGTATATATATATGGAAAACTAATCTCCATAATATTTCCATAATATTTTCAAAATAGAAAACTAATTCCATATTTCAAATGAAAAGCACACCCACCCAATTTGTTCACCACTGTTAGTAAAAAAAATGTATTTTGTTCAGAACTGTTTTGTCGAACAATAATGATCCTGTCAGTACTGTATGTCCGAACAAAATTTGTTCATCACTGTGTAACTTGAATTCATTCTAATTCACAACTTAAAATAACATGAATTAAATCCATTCAAAATACTAACTTAAATTCATTCCAATTCACTCTTTTCCATTCTAAGTTAGTTTAACAAAGAAAATTACATAACTGACTATCTGCATTAATGTTCGGAACTTATGTATTGAACGAAAGGATTTGCTCAGTACTGTGTTACCGAACATAATGTAAAAGTCAGCAAACTAGTACCGAACAGCTCGAACGAAACAAAAACGACCAAAACGACCGAGAATGTTAATAAAGACAAAGATAAACGATCGAGAATGTTGTCCTCGTCCTCCATTGCTCCACACAGTGAAATAAGTGATGAAGTATACGTTATCTTGAAGCAAAACTTTCAAGTTTAATAGTGTTGATGATGGTGATGAAGATGCACTTCAGGATTTAAGATTATTATGAAAATAATAGATTTAGGTGTTATGTTATAAGGTTAGTTATGATACGAAGTATTAGTGCTTTAGCACAGCTTACGTAGAAACATGGAATGACGTGATTAGTTGGAAGTATGTGTGAGTGCGTAATAGGCGGGGGGTAGTATGGTGTGGTGGTTAGTAAACGTTGCTATACTTTATATTATTTAGTAGGTAATGCTATATGAGAGTTTAGTTATTATTGATAGGTGGGTGTTCATTTCACAATGTCTTTTAATATAATTTTACTTTAGGTTATAATTGTAATAAAAAAAAATTATAAAATGGGGTCTAAAAAATTTTGGCAGGTGCTAATAGCAGCGCTCTTTTTTTTTTTGGTTCATGATCCTAATTTTCAAAAGTTTGTTAAGATACAATTTTATTTTAATATTTAGTTTAAGGTATCAAAAAATTTTAGGCAACTGCGGATTTTATACATTAAAACTATTGAGTTGTCTTTTTACCTCTCGAAAACTCTATTAGTGATTTTTGACGAATGGTTCCAGTAATTTCATTAATCTTTGAAAAAGAGTTAATATAAATATTTTTTTAAATTTAAATTAATTTCACAAAAAAAAAATGATTTGTAAATCCATTGGTAGTGGTTCCAAATAGGGGTATGCTATGCGATTCAGACAATTTGAGAATAAAATTATAAATCGAATAGTAGATTGATGGATGACAAATTATAATTTGAGTGATTTCAAATAGATTAATAGATTGAAGAATATTTTAATTAATTATCAAGTACTTGTATAATATATAATACTAATTTATATAATATTTTTTTTTATATAATACAAATTAATTTACATAATATTATTATATAAAACTATTAATTTATAATAAATTTACATTTTTAATTTTCTTTCACATCGTTTGAGAACAGGCTTTTAGTAATTTTTTGATTTTTTGACTAAAATATAATATAAAAAAATTAGTATGTTTGGAATGACTTTTTATTTTTTTACGAAAAGATGTACAAAAAGTAGAGGAAAAATAAATTTTTTGACTTTTTTGTATAAGTTTGATTTTTTGATTTTTTTTAGTGATTTTTTAACTTTTTAATTAAAAAAACTACTCCCCAAACAAAGCCTTTTTATCTTGATATTCTATTCTATTGAAAATTAAAAACACATATATATATATATATATATATATATATATATATATTACCTTGATGAAGTGTGATGGTTTCAAACGAATCAATGTGGTTAAAAAATGTCATAGGTTTTAAATTTTATATCAAATGAATAATAAAATATCTCATATATTTGTGAATCTTATTTTAATAAAAATATTTAGTCATTATCTTATTTTAATAAAATATTTAGTCATTTATTTAATAAAAAATTTAATGTTCCTACACTGTCTAATGCCATTTAAACAAAACTACAGACCTCTAAATTAGAGGCTCTAAACACACTCTAATGAAGTGAAGAAAAAAAAAAAAAAAAAAAAAAAAAAATCAAGACACACACTGATGTGGCAGTAGGTGAAACACTATCACATCCATATACTAGGGTATTCTAATTGGGTAGCATTTCTAAAAATAAACGGCCCAAGTAGTAGAACCACTAGTACCAGGACATTCCGTCGTAACATCCACAAGTTGGAAAAAAAAGGTGACCGAATTGCTTTTAGTCGGTAGAGAGAGAAAGTTTAGAGAGAGAGAGAGAGAGAGAGAGCTAGATCTCCAACAAGCCACACCCAAAAACTTTTACGATCGATTTGGTTTATCTGATCCATTTCTTCTTCTTCTTCCTCTCCTCGCAACTCACACAGGTTCGATTCTCTCTCACTGTCTATTTCTCAATCAAATTCACATATGAATATACACATATTTCTGTTTTTGTTTCTTAATTTTTGAATGATTTCATCTTCAGTTAGTAGCATTGTGTTTAATTGGGGTATTGCTTGGTTGAGGGCTTAAGATTGGAGAATTTGACATCTGAATCGGTTAAATCTTTGATGGTTCTTTTGATTTTGATTTTGAACTTTTTTTTTTTTTTAATCTTTTGTAATGAATTTTTGTCATCAGTAAATGAGTGTCAGTCAAAATTTATTGGTGGTAATTGGTTGGTATGTTCTTGTGAATTTTAGTCAGTCGTCAGTCTGGGTTTTACTGGTAATACATGCCTATTGTTTTATTTTTGAATTTGTGGGTTCATCTGGTGGGTAGTTATATATACATGTTTATTGCTTTGGAACTGATTTTTTAAAACAGTTTAGCTGCAATTGCAAATATTGTATGTATAGGCGGGTGTGAACATCATGCGTTTGTAATTTCATAGTTATATCGTTTGAATGGTTTTTGATGATTGAGGTGTGATTTGATGAATGATGAAAACTTTTTAGCAACTTTGGACAATTTGATGAAGCAGTTAGTGAATGTGGTAGTTTTGGCATATGAGGGGGATTATTGAAAAACAAAAAAATCTTACAGACTAGACCAAGTTGACCAACTAAGGTGTACGCTTTATATAATAGAAATATAATATATATATATATTATCTATATTTTCACATTGCTTCCTTCCAAAGCGTCTTAAACAACAAACTAAAAAACTTAGTTAAAGAGTGAGAGTGAGAGTGAGAGTGAGAGACTGATCGTAGCTTGAGAGAAGAATGAATAAAATTGATTGCTGATGATCAAATGTTGGCGTATATGTATATATACATAAAAGCATGGTTGGTGGCTTAACACTGACACTTTCAGTGTTAAATTGAAACTTAAAGTGTGGTCAATAAATATGTTTCTTTGCTGAAAAAGTCTTAGCTTGTGTTGGTTTTACAGAGGAAGAGGAAGAGAGAAGAAGATGATGAGTGCGAGGGAGAAAACACAATATGGCTGGAGAGAAAAGAGTTCTCAAAAACATTATGGTTCTCTCTTAGGCTCTCATATTTATAATAAGAGACGCAGTTACATAAGTACCGAAATAACCTTAACAGTTAACAGCTTGACAGTGTGTTTGCTATTTGCACTTTTAGAAGGCGTGGTTAGCAAAAATTTCGTCCAAACAAATGAAAGCGTTTTTGCTGAATGCGCTTTCAAGAAAACGCGTTTTAGTAAACGCGCATTCTCATAGTCTGGGAAATAAATTTTAAAAGCCCATCTGATTTAAATTAATTTGTAAAACAAACATATATTTGTCAAAAAGCCTCCTGCTTCCCTCTATTTGTGCACCAAGTTTGAGTTTTGTTGTTTGACACATGGGCACCTTCCCATGTCAAAGTTTAACCTATTGAATTTCAGGTTTATCTGCTGTCCTATCATTCATTTGGCTTCTTAAGACTTGCAATCATTGTCTAGTAAGCTAGTGAAACAATTTCTTTTCGCTCCATATCATTTTTGCATAAAATTTTATACATAGATTTTACAATTAGTAATTGTTTGATGCAATTTAGCTTGATGAAAGACGTCCTTTAGAGTTGTTTGTGTTTCTATGTTATATTCATGTAAGATTTTTGTACATCAATTTTGCAATTTGTTGAAAAAAACATAATTTACATTTATAATTGGTTGATGAAATGAGATATTTTAAACGCCTTATTCATGATAACCATTTAGTAGGAACAATTTGCTCTGTGGTTTAATATTTATTAAAGGACATTTTACATAGATTTAAGAATTAGCATTGTTTTGTTGAATTACAATCCTTTTCTTACTGACAAAGATCCTTTATAATTTTTATTCTTTTAAATCCCCAAACAATTTTTTGTCTTCACTTGTCAGTGCAGTAACTAGTGATCTCTTTATTGTCCAATGAAGCATTGGTACAGCCTAAAAGATCAGAAGAAATCACATTTGATTTTCAGATAGATACATCTAAACCAGTATACTTATGAGGAGGCACAAGGTTGGTTATTGTATATTCATCGCATATTAAATTTGTCTCTTCCCTTCTTAGCCAAGTTCGTGAATTATGCTAAAAGCTGTAAGTTCACGTGGTTGCAGCAATTTTCTACGGGAATTCAACAGCTTTTTTCTTGGAAATTGTAATGTGGAGGTTGGCATCATGAACTTCAATAATTGAAAAATGGTTGCAATAATCATTAGGCACAAAACACAATTTTTAAACAGTAATGTGATCTGATGGGCAAGGAGAATTTGCCACAAACAATTAAAGGTGGAATGAGTGTTGATTGTTCCCTTCCCATTGGGAGTGAAGATACTGGGACTTACTCTGTATCAAGCACAGTTTAGACAAGGAGGCAGGCTTGCCAACTTGTCGTGTTTGCCAATGTGCTGAATCTGACAAAAGGGGAGATGCTGTGTTGGGGATTTTGGGTATCACTCCACCATTACGAGTTGCACATACAGGCAGTGAGGATGTAAGGCCTAATTGTAAAGCAGCCTTGGAAGATGTTGATAGTGACGATATCTTGTAACAAAAATGGTAGAGAGAATCTGGATTTGTTGAGTTTGTCAGCCCTACAGGGGAGGTTTTCATTTGTAATACTGATGTAGAAATGGGTTTTAGCCCCCCCCAAGACACACTAATTGAGCTAGGTTGCTCTTGCAAAAGTGATCTTGCTCTAGTGCACTATGCATGTGCACTCAAATGGTTTTGTGAACCATGGATCTACTGTCTGTGAAATATGTGGACACCTTTGCAAAAAATATTAAAACTGCAGATTTCAAAAAGGTTTTTGGTTTCTTTGAAAGATTATGAAGTGTTGAGGGAAAGGACTGTCAATGGGGAACCTAATCTTGCACAGGTGCAGTCAAATTCAGGTGTAGACCCTGATGCTGTTGCTGCTATTCGAAGGCAAAGGCTAAGTGAAATCTCATTGTGGTTTAATCCACATAATACCAACAATCCTGCCATAGCTTCACTGGTTGTCACTGAGCAACCTTCTAATATTGTCGGCGAAGAAGTTGTCCCTGTTGAAAATCCAGCGACCAAATGGGCTGTGGAGGGTACTGGGATCTTGCTTGCTACGGGGCTGCTTACTGTCTCTCTTGCGTGGCTCATTGCTCCTCGTGTTGGAAAGGTATTTAGAATCTAAGTGCTATTGTTTATTTCACAGATGATATATACAAAAAAATTTGTTTTTCTGACAGGCAAACTGCCAATAGAAGAGTTATTATGCATATGAGAGTAATTTTTCAACATATTTGTTTAGAGCCCACAAGTATTGTACCTGTAAAAACTTAAGCTCCTGTAATGCCAGAACTAAATTGCTATCACATGGAGCTGCTATACATACATGCATACATACAAACATATGTATATAAATCAATATGTACATGTATATGTTAGTTCTTGTCCCTCATTATAATTTGAAGTTTTTTCAAAATATTTTCCATGATACTGTATATTTTTTCAGAGCATCTCTAGCAGTGTAGTATTTAGTGTGAAGCAAAGTCCCACATCTCCTGAGTACTAAAGATAATGTTAAGCATAAAGCGTGAGAGCACCCTCACCTCAATAGCTAGCTTTTGGGTTGAGTTCTACCCAAAACCGTTGTAACATTTAGGTGTAGCTAGCAATATTAAAATAGGACAGTGCAACAAAAAATACTTGCTCCAGCAGGGTAGTGTATGCTGTGCTTAAATAGGGTTTAGGGTTTAGGAAATGTCCAGAATTGCAACAACTATAGAGGAATTAAGCTGATGCGTTCATATAATAAAAGTGTGGGAGAGAGTGATGGAACATCGATTACAAAAATATCAAAAGATGTTAGGAAATCAATTTGGATTTATGCTCGGTAGGTCAACAATGGAAGCGATCTATCTTTTGAGGAGAGTAATAGAAAAGTATAGAGAGAAAAAAAGAAACATTCATATGGTTTTTATCGATCTTGAGAGAAACATATGATAGAGTGTCTTGGGATATAATCTGGTGGGTGTTCGAGAAGAAAGGGGTGACAAAAGGCTACATTTGATGAGATTTAAGGCAAGGCTTGGTTTGGTTTTTGTTTGTGTTTAAATCAATCAGTTGAAAAATTATTAAAAAATAGGTGATTGAAGAATGGTGGTTGATTGATAGATAGATAGATGAATTAATACAGAAAATATTGCACTGTTTGACCACTTGTGCTATTTTGGCACAGTAAATAATACACATTGCTGGAGCAGCTTGTAATAAATCTGTATAAAGTGAGCACAAAAACGCTATAGACCATTGGAGATGCTCTTATCACTATTACTGAGTGAGCATAGTCTCCAATATGAGCTATACTTTGTCACCCTTAGTGCATCGGGTTTTCTTGCATATCTCCAGTGCGAGCTACCCTTTTGTTACCGTTACTGCATCGGTTATTCTTGTGTATGAGCTTTATTAATTCATTGAGAAATATCTGCATGTGTGTGGGTATTTAATTGAGAAATATTTGTATTAATTCTGATAATACATGAGATATCAATTGCTTTTGTTGCCTTACGCTTTTTCCTCAATTTATTTTCTTTTAATTCATTTCTTTCTTTGTACATTCTTGAATATATTTCGTCTGACAAATTTCTCCTGCTTGCAGAAAACTGCCAAAAGTGGCCTTCACATTCTTCTTGGAGGCATTTGTGCTTTAACTGTTGTAGTTCTTCTTTCGCTTTGTAAGTTATTAGATATTAATTCTTTTGATCTTGCATCCATTGAGCGTATTTGCTTTTCTTGGACTGAAAGTAAGTTATATTATGATTTGTGTTAATGATCAAATACACTTTTCATGTTTTATGTCTCTTGATTAGCAAAGGAAAACATGACGATGTAGTTTTCTCATATGGTCCTTCTACTATGACATTGTTAAGAATTATTATAGAACATTTAGTCGTTTAAGATCTGATGAGGCTGATCTTTGCAAATAAAATGAGAAAATCATTGAATAAGGTGCATTACTCATCAGACATTGGGGTGTGACGCAATGGTCTAGTAGCTACACCTTAGGGTGTAGGAGTGGAAGGTCAAGGGTTTGAGTTGATGGAGCAACGGTGGCTCTTCAGTTGTAATCTAACTTATACTAACACACTAACACTATCTCAAAAAAAAAAAAAAAAAAACCTGCATACTCATCAATCTGTTTCATCTTTTCAATATGATAAGTTGACATTGTAATTCCCAAAAACTTTAGGACACGAACATACATGCTATAAATACATATGTATTTAATATATAATATGAAATTGAAAAAATGTTCATGTTTTAAATAACAAGTAAATGTGCCATTTACTATATGAAATAGTAAGAAGTTACTCAGCTTTTTTAAGTTTTTAAGTTTATAAAAGTTGGAAAAGAAGTGGGATACAAACCTCACCTCTCCCTCCAGACCTTCCTATATGTGTAAGTGGGGAGCCTTGTGCACTGAGTATGACATTTTTTGGTACTTAGAATAGAAATGCTTTAGATGTGGTGCGTCACCTGCTCTACAAAATGGTTCTGTAGCAGTAAGCTGATGCAACTGATATGAATGAGTGTAGGCAATAGATTATTAACATCTGTTCAGGTCCTCTCAAATTTGTGAGTCATCTACTATGAACAATTTGACATTAAAAAATATAATTATGGTAATATACATTTCAGCTTTTAAAGTTTTCCTATATTTGAAGTTATGATGTGAGTACATTTCTTAATTTGGCTCATTTACAAGTGGGGCGTGGAGCTGTTGATGCATTAGGGGCCTGTTTTAGACCTCCGCCATGCGTTACACATTTCCCCAAAACAACACACAGATCAAAAGGGTAACACAAAGGCTCCGTTTTGTTTACAGATTTGAAATGCATGGATTTTTGGCATTATTCTAAAGCAAGAAGCATAATTTAAATTTAGATTTGATAACTATTTTGAAGATTATATTAAAGAGCTTTATTCTATGATGAATTTGAAATACCTATGCAAAAGTAGTTATTTCAAATCATGCTAAGGATTCTCCTTTCAGCTACAAAGATGCTACTTAAAATACATATTTTCTATTTTTTCTATCCACCTATAATAGTTAAACTCTCCAATACTTTTATAATATCCAACCTCAAATCCTTTAATTTGAAAATCTACATCTATCCAAATGGAGCTTAATGGAATACTTCATGCATAGGGAAAAAATTGTTTCAATTGCTAAATTTGTTGTTTTTGGTATTAAATTTTATGATTTTTCTCGAATGTGCATTCCTAAAGTAAATGACTAGGGTAATATATTTTTTTTTCCTCATGACAGATTTAGATATTCATTTTTTTCATGGATTGTACTAGTGAGTAGGACATTCTGACATTAATTGCACTGCCAATTGAGGGCCATTCCTTCCCTAGAGAACTAATGCTCTGTTTTGGTTTCATTGGAATGAGATGGTATGGTCATTTCCTTTAGTTTTTCCTATGATTTTCCTTATAATTAGAATATATGATTCCTTATTTACAATGCATGATATTTTTCATTATTCTTTTAGTCAACCAAACACATGGGAATGAATATTTTGATGGAATGACCTCTTTGATTGTGATCACTTTCATTTCTCGTTTTTCAATTTGTATTGGGAATTGGTCTTTCTTGCTCACTTTACTTTTTGTTAGTTGAGTGTGGTTCTAAAGTGATGAAAGTAGGAATTATATGTTTCGTCCATTGTAGATATAAATGGTTAACTAATGTTTGTTCTTTTGAAACCTGCAGATTGTTTAACTAGACATCAAGTATGGACCTGCACGCTTACTGGGCCATGTCTTATTTGTTGCTTCTAGTTCTTTGTATTTGGCATTGCTTCAAAGAACCATGGGCTCATACAACATGAAATTCTAATGGCCCTATATTTTTAGGGCTATTACAAAAAGAAAGAAGAAGAGGCGGTATTGATCGTCGTGTAACAAATTAAATCATAAAATTTTAATTTTTTCTTTTTTTCATTTGAACCCTTAAATTTTAAGTTTACCCAATTCAACCATCTGTCCATCTCAGTTAAAATTTTTAACAAATGAGGGATTAATTTTGTCAATTCCACATCTTCTTCATCTTTGGCTAGAAATAGATAACCACAAATTATCCAAACGAGAGTAGTAGATTAATTAGATTATCCTCACCGTTAGGATTTTTTACGGGGGATTGA